ATTCTGCCCTGTTCCACTACAATCTAGTAATGAAAACTTAGTCATGTCCCTCAGTGTAGATGCCTAATGATGCAATGATGCAGAATGCTTTTTTTCATTTTCTTTTGACCTTTGGCCAGCAAAGCTTATCATTTATACATGAAGTAGCTCTCTCATTTGGACAAGAAGGCCTTTGTTGAAATAGGCACCTAGGCTCTGCAGACCTAGTTACTTTTCAGCTTAATGACTCAGGATCTGCCTGCACATAGGTTCGTTGCTTTTGCCAGTATTTAGCAACCTAGTATGTCTGCCCTAAGTAATAATACGTTAGGTAGTTGAGATGTTGTTCAGCCAAAGGTATCCACTGTATGGAAGAGTGGGATGGAAAGGACCCAAATTAGTTTTGCCTAGTGCTACCGTGGCAGCTCACATAGACAGAGATGAATTTTAAACTGAAGAAAGCCAAATTGATTTAATTTAACCAGCTGTTTTTCTCACTTCTACATAAGCCTCTAATATCACAATTTGTTCTGGTTTTCCTGAATGAAAATTCTTGTTTTTAACTGCCAAACAGGAAATTTTATGGAGAGTACTTCCAGATCAAAAAAGCTCTGAATCTGACTGTTTTTAATGCCCTTTAACCACCATGCATTCAGTCCTAAGAAAAAATTAATATTGCAGTTTTGTAGTCCTTGTCATTATCCTGCTTCCTTCTGATCTTACTGCTATTTTTGCTAATCAGCTGGATTAAAAATTGTAGAGCAATCAGCCACATGTATCTTAGTTAAAGGTGAATATTGTATGTAATTGAGAGCGATATTTAGTAATGTATTGTATATGAAATAGGGTTGGGACAATGTATCATAAGAGCCATGTTGTTTGTTCCTTGCATGTACCAGACTTTTTTGGCATTGTGAGGATTATTAGAAAACTCAAAAATTGGAGAATCCCTGCAAGCTTTGTAATGAGCCAACCATTGGGGGGGAAAAAAATCCCTTACATTGCTTATTACGAGATCCATTTGGTTGGACAGTGCTTCTTTTTACTAAGTTCCTGTTTTCTTTGATGTGTATTTAGCACTATTTTGTTTAACTGGGTAACTTCTGTTCATGTTATATATTGCTTATTTAACAGGAAATCCATTCTGTGTATTGTCTTTTAAATTAAAAAGCATTTAGGTTGTCTAGTTTAGGGGAGGCTATAAAATGGAGACAGGATGTACCCTTTGATTGAATTTCTTTCTGAGGTTGCTGGGCTTTCAGCAAAGGATTCATATATCCAAGTTCAAGTTTGCTTGTGTGAAGTTAGTGAAGAAAAGGGACATCTCCTTTTGATTTTCTTCCTTTTGTATTTTTATGCACTTGTACAGCCAAATATAAGCACATATGAAATGCAGCCACGTTCTGCATGAGAGATGAAAAGCTGGTCTGGGTGCATATATCATCATTGAGTCAGCTGGGCCCCCTGCTGCGCTCTGCTTTTGTGGGTTTTAAAAAGATCTACCTCCTAAAGTACCTACTTCTGTTAAATATTAGTAAGCCGTATAGTGAACTTTGATTACTAAAGTTGACTGAAGATGTCTTGTCTGCCTTGTGTGTTGCGTCTGGTAAATAGCTGGTCGCTGTGGTAACCACCTCAAAAGGTAGAGGGTCCTTAGTACCACAGAAATTATTTAAACAGAACCTGATCACAGCAAATTCTAACATTAGTCTGCGAAGAAGGATAAAAGAAGAGGAAGAGATTGAGACAGCTTTTTCCTTTTGTAAACTCACTGTTTTATAGGGGAAAAAATAGCTAGAAATAGCCCGTCTCATATGAAATGAAAAGTTTGTGGATTAAGGCATTGCATTAGGGAAGCATCTGTGTGAATGTGAAACAGAAAGTTCTCCAGCTCCAGCCATTATGGGTTTGTTTGGTTAGGTCTAATTTTGGAAGCCATTATAGCAAAGGTAAATGACTTGAACAGGAGACTACTGTAAACAAAAGACTTGATACATTTACTTTGGCAGGAGCCTTGAGAAGACTCGGTCCTTTCACTGCCTCTTTTGTGCAGCCTCCTGTGCTGCTCTCACTGCAGGCAGCTCCCCTTCCTTTCTTCTGTCCCTGACAGCTTCTTTCCCCTGACAGGTAGGATTTAAGGGAGGCAGTGCCTGCTCCTGAAATACTGGTGTGTAGCTGTGGAATACCTTTATTTTTATAGTAGCTGTTCCTTGACTTCTAAAGCCACTGTGTTTTGCTCAGTTAAGAATCTGTTCAGTCTCTCTTGGTCTAGTACTGGAGTATAATCTGTTTCAAATGCTTTACTTTTTAATTTTGGCTCCTCTTTGGCTGCTTTTTGTGTTTTTATTTTATAATTTAATAGCGTTATGCCTACAGATTCTAAGCATACTGATACTTGGCTGATACTAGTTTTTCAGTGAAGAGTAAAGCATGAGGACTCTTAACTCCCTTTCTAGGTCTGTATCCATGTGGTTCATTCAAAGCTTCTGCCCTTTTACAAAGCTCATTGTGAACATCTCTTATGGGCATAGTGGAGCTTTCATTGCTATCTAAAGCTGGGAAGTTGAAGTAGAGGGGCAGAGTCCATGTCCTCAGCTGCAGTATTACCTTGCTAGCATTTCTTTTCTTCTCTCCCTGACAGTTGTGTGATTCTAGGAGACTCCCCTTCACAATCCTTGTCATGGGTGACTTCTGTCAGTTCCCAAGTTGTCAGCAAATGCCTTCAGTCAAGGAGTAACTGTTTACCTTGACTTCCAAAACAGACAGGGCATACACTACTATTAATTAGTTCTGTTTTTTTAAAGCACAAGATTTTTATGCTGCATCTCCAAATGACTAGAAACCCATCCTTGCATGTTCTCACATGCTTTGTGCCCTTTAGGGATAGCAATGCTGCTCATCACTCTGATACATTACTAGTACCAAAGGAATCCATAGGGTCATTTTCTACACATGTCATAGAGAAGAGGATTATCTTTACCTCTGAAATTGCTCCCTTAGTGCTCATTATCTAGAAATACAGTAATTGAGATGCTGGTGGGAAAATATTTTGTCTAATAGTAGCTCTGATCTCTAAAATGGAGTTTAACCACATAATAATTACACACTAAAATGTTTGACCAGTAAGACTGATATAAACAAGCCAACTGTGGAATTGAGTGCCTGAGAAGAGGTTTTATTTCAGGATAATTTAGTCTTATGCTGTATATACAAGATATTTGTATGCTTTAAGACCAGGCAGCTGATGCTGAATAAAAAGATGTGGGTTTAGCTGCATGAACTCTTTTGAACTTCCCTCCACCTGTAGGGTCTTTGTATGTCAGGAGAAGCAGAGAACTTTGTTTTATTGGTATTATTCTCTGATGTCTTGAAAACACAGAAAGGCAATACAAAAGTTCATAAAGAGAAACATCCTACTCTCCAACTGACTGTGAAAAAAAAAAAATTGAAAAGATACACCTCTTGAAAAAGCTATCACAATGTTTTGACTTTACAATAAGAATTAATAAAATACAGATTTAATTTTTTGTGTGTGCTGTAAAGAGTTAGTTTAATATAATTTCTTCCTTCTATATAAACTGCTGGAATGATGAAATGAGTGAGTTTTGGTTACTTCCCCAAATTAAACCCAGTCAAGTGCAAAAGTTTTGGCTATACATGTTTCAGATTTCCAGGATGAGATTCAGCCTAGGATTTCAGAGACAGTCATGTGGCTGGAGCAGTTGTGGGCTCTGATCATAGAGTTCTCCATGCACTGCATCCAACAGGAAGCGGGCACCATTCTTGAAGTGAAGAACCAACATAATTTACATCAAAGCCAAAAATCTGAGTAATATATAAAACTGAAATCCAGTTTTTCACATGTTAATTTAATATAATAATCTTAATCTAGCAGTAAGGTAGTATAACTGTATTTCTATAAAATTATGCTCATGAGGATTAGTGTATATTTTATGTATATTTTATGATATGCTATTCCTCTTAACCTCTATTGTGGAGGATGTTTTATTTCCTTTTTACACATCAGAAGGTGCTTTAGGTGTAACGTTCTCAATAGACTTGACTGAAAATAAGCTTCTTTTATTTTAAAAAGGAACTTTGTCAACTCTGCCCAGATTTGTTGAACTGAGTAAACACAACAGATATATACTACGAAATGATCACAAAGTCTGTGATTTAATGCTGTGGTGTTGGCAGGGAGGTGTATGGGAGCTCCCACTGTGCCTTTCACTGCCTCTCACCCACCACATCTTTAGATAAATAGCAAAGTGTGTGTGGCTCCAGGAGCTGTCAGTCTCATTGCTTTGGCTGTGCATTATGGTAGGGGAGAGCAGTGCAGACAAGACCTGCCACCAGGCTCCCTGTGTACAGCATTGAGAAGGGCAGGTTGCAGTGCCTTGTGTTTGGAGTGACCATATTGTTCTTCACACTTTGTAAGGCCAGTGAATGCTCAAAACTGGATTGTTGAATCCTGTGAGGAAATACAGCTGTGACAGGAGGAATTTATTGCTTAAGCTAGTTTCTGTTACTATAGCCACCTTACTACTGGTGGAAACTGCTGTGAAATGGAAAAAAATGGGCCCTTGCCTGGTGCAACAGGTGGAGTGTTCAGTTGTTGAGTGTGGCCTGAGCTGAGTCTTGTTTCCATGCCCAGAGAATGGCTGCAGAAACCACCGCAACAGCTTGGGATTTCTGCAGAAGTAGTTCCTATCTCTTGGAAAGATGCCAAGCAGAATTTAATTGCTTGTGGTGAAATCTTTCTCTGTGGCTAGATAGAACGTTGAATGCTTTTGAACTTTTGAATTGCTAGGGGACAGCCTGATCTAACATGGTTGTATTTAATATACAGACAGATAATGAAAGATACTTCTTAATCAGATAATATGTCTTTGATGCAATTTTTTGTTTTAAATATTCCACACTAACTTGAGGGAGAGGAAGGGAGGTCTTGTAATAACATACACATTTGTTTCTCTGTTTAGTAAATTGACAGGTGTTTGGTTTTTCTTGTGTCTGCTCAGGAAACCACGTCTTGTCTCCTGGAGAGTCTGTTGGAAAAGGTCTAACGCCAGAAGCTGCAAAAGATCTTGGTCTCCCTGAAGGGATTGCAGTAGCAGCATCTCTCATTGATGCACATGCAGGAGGACTAGGTACTCAGTCATATATTTACTCTTCTTGTAAACGGGAATGTATTGAATTAATTTTAGAAAGCCATTTTTCTCACAGCCTGTTTTGTATCCAGCAATTTGCTTTGATGCTATTCTTACAAAATAGTGTAACTAAAATTAAAAAGCCCTCACAGTAATTGCTAATATTGAGTATCAGTTTACAGAAAGGGCCTATCACTGCTTGTTTCTTTTCAGCTGGATTTCCAAATAGTTTGATAACTTAGGTCCACTAAGAATTCTTCAACTGGAACACTACTCTGTGCCAACGTGCCGAGAGTTTGCATCTTTTGTTACTCAGAACTTAGATAGGAAGAAAGAAGAAAAAATTAACCTTCTGAGGCAGAAGTTTCAAATCTGAGGTTTGTTCATAGTCTTCCTTCTTAATTTTAGAACTGATTCACTCTTTGTTTAACTATTGCAATAGAGACTTTTTTTCACATACATGTATGGTAGCCCAGTGTAGGATATATACCAAAAATTCTGCTTTTGGCCCAAGGGGTTAGAAGATGTAAACACAGTGTGTCTAAACTAACAAAGCAAAGTAAAGGGGGAGCTGGCCACTGCATAGCATTCCTCTCCTGTGATTTTGAACTTTTTATCCATAACTGGAGTGGGAGGCCTGATGCTTAGATTTTTGCCTTTTCCAACACAATATTCTGATATGCTTAGTTTCAGCTGTAGTGAAATATATTTGGTGAGGCTCAGTGGCTTAATTTTCTTACTATGCTGATTGGCCTTATCTAAATACAGTCAACAACAAAGTGATTCAGTGTTTCTTTCAGCAGG